TTGTGGTCCGTGCTTGTGGGAATACCGGTCGTTCGCCGACGTGTAACCCTCCCGACCCGGCGCATTAATGGTCGCGTCGACTTTTTTAAGCTAGGCGAGGTACTGGTGGTTTAAGGAAGGGGTCGTTTCATAAATAAGCAGGTCGATTGCTTGATAAGTGGATCCATTTGTGGGGCCAACATTGTTGTTGGAGCAAGAGATAATTACTTTTAATGAGGGACTAGAACCTTGGAGCAATGGTGTCTAAGTAACTATTACGGTTTTTGTTGGGTTCCGAACTCTAATCTTGTGGAGACCCTGTTACTATTGGGTTTGTCGGGTTTCCAACTCTGGTCTTGGTGATTCGTTGTTCTTACTTTCGTAGTTATCTTGCATGTTGACGTATTGGATATTGCTAGAGGTTTTGTATCCGGTAGGACCAAGTATAAGGTAATAATTACTTTATGCTGATAGTTCGAATCTCCAGATTTTCACTTTTTTTGGTTCAGTCCTTAGATGTTGTCGAATGTAGTGGTGACCGTACTTTCAGATTAATGTTGTGAGGCAATTGTCCTTACGGTTGGTCGTCACGTCCTATTAATATGTTTCAGTCTATTCAGTACTTACTTGCGTCGACTATGAAGATCCTTGATAAAGACTGGTTGCTGGACCAATCGAGACTAGTTAGGAAACTTAGGTCACGCCGCCATGTGCTACTATTGATATTTTAAAAGTCACGTTCGGGGATTATGGTTCAGACTGGCGTTTTCTTCCTTATTCCTTTTCCTTCTTCTTCTCCCCTCTATTCCTCTCTATGATTTCGATTACTCGGGTGCTTCTTTCTGTGTGTCGCTTTCGATGAATGCTTGATAGTTATCGACTTCTTTAATTAAACTTCCCACTACTTGTTTTCCCGAAGAAACCAAAGTAGGGATCATAGTGCGGTCTGTGTGGCTCCGATTTGTTAATCGTCGATCCCCATGGCTTGTAACTTGCCGACGTCTACTATAGTTCATACTTGTTTAAATTCTGGTGACCCTGCACATTTTGCAAGATGGTGCCCTCATCGTTCTAATAATAATCCTTCTGTTGACACTCAAACTTTGCTAACTTCACCGTCCAATACTATTTTTTTCCTTCATTCATCTAGCACGATGGTTACCAGGCAGTTCAGGAGTAATGAGTGGCATGAAGCTAAGCAACGTCTCATTGTCTTGAAAAACAATGTGGTTAAGATGAAGATCGACATGACGCGGAAGTGGAGAGAGAATAACAAAGAAGAGGAGGAAGAATAAAAAAAAAATATGGAAGAACGAGAACGAAGAAAACGAGATTGGAATAAGATAGAAGATTTTAATTGAACGATGGTGGATGATATTAATAAGAAGTGGGAGAAAGTATGTGAAGTGATGAATGGAAAGAAGAAGAACGTGTGGTATAATTCAGAGATTGAAGCAATGAAAAAGAAAATTGATCGATTGAAGGCGCGTAATCAGGATGCGACGAACTCTTCGTCAACTGTGAAAACGACCGCTGAAGGAGAGGAATTGAATCGACAGCTATTGCGGGAGCAAAAGATGATGAAGAAGAAACTTGAGGAACCTATCGCAACATAGAGGAGGTTGGAATCCCTTAAGAATTAGCTATAACTGATGAGAACAATGGGATATGAGGCGTTGAATGAGGTTGAGACGTGCAAAAGTTAAGTTCTGCGTCCTCGCAATAAACGAGGTTGTGTAGTGGTCACGACTACTACAGTTGGTCGCACATGTGCGAGGGCCACTCCACGTAAGCCCCTCGAGCTCATGAGTGGTAATGATGGGTTGGTGCATCAACATTCTCTAGAAGTCGACACTTTGAAAAATATTCGATTGACTGATGTAAATGAAAGACAAGAGAAGGAGCAAGAAAATCAACGTTTAAAGGCAGTGATGGCAAAAAATAATAATATTCGTCGTAAGAAGGTACTGAAAAAAAAGCAGCTCAAGTTTCGTGTACTAATTTGAGGCTGAGAACGGATTAAATGGCTTTACGATCAACAAAAAAATAAAAAATGAAGACAGTGACAGAGCTGACAATTTCGAAGGCTGTCGAGAAGCAATAGTTTATTAAAGATCAAAGAAAGGATGTCAGTAATAAGAAGAAGGAGGGCATTATGAAAATCTATCGAGAGGAGGAAGTGAAGTATACAACATTGAAGCAGACGGTAAATGATATTATTAACGTAACGAGTGATGAAAAGGTTTCCGGAAGATGGTAAGGTAGAACAAGAGGTTTTTGATGACTCCATGAAGGACCTTCTAAGAAAGAGACGTCGGTCGAGGAAGATGATGAAACTTTGTAAGTTCTCCCCCGAGCGCGGCCACTTTATGGTCACTTGTTGTACCTTACTCTAAGTTACGCTCTTCTTCTGTGCAGTGCTTGCAGAATGAGGTGTTAAGTGAATTTTTTCAATTCATTATCATCTTTTTAATTCTTTCTGGTCGTTTTCCGTATGTTTGTAAATTCTGGGTCATATATGTGGGTGGTGAAACGATAAAAAAACTGAGTTTAATCCACAATAACCTGTTATGTACGCTTTGGTTTCACCTTGCTGAGACAAGCGTATGTTGAGAACTCTCTTTGATGTACTGATGCCAGATGGTGTGAGCATGTTAATAAATCTCGAATTAGTTATATTATCGCACAGGTGGTTTTCAGGGTCTTCAGACCTTTCACCACTTCAGGACCATTCATGTATGAAAATCCTGAATGGTCATGAACTGGTGAAAGCCCAGAAGACCCTGAAAACCACCTGTTTAGGCAGGCTGCGTCCTCAAGTGGTGAATGGTGGTTTTCATGGTCTTCGGATCTTTCACCACTTCAGGACCATTCAGGATTTTCAGACTGCCCAAGACTCTCACTTGACCACTTCAGGACACCCTTTACCACTTCAAGATGCAGCCTGCCTAAACAAGTGGTTTTCAGGGTCTTTGGACCTTTCACCACTTCAGGACCATTTAGGATTTTCAGACTGCCCAAAACTCTTACTTCAGAATTTTCATTCCCGAATTTTTAGCTACCCGATAACCGTTTATGTTCAACCAACGAATATCGATACGGTTTACACTGAAACAACGGGTGGGTGCTAGTCTGGATCTCGTGATGTATGACTAGGGACAATCGAATGTCCGCATCCTCCAAACTAATCGCGTCCTGATTTTCCGTTAAAATGTTAGAAATGATTCCGTGTATTTCATCCGACACATACTCTGGCACGTGCAGTTCATCACGACCGACAATTGTTTCATACTCTGTGAATCATGAGAATGGGCCAGCTGGACAAGGAAACCCCCAAGGACCAAACCAAGCTTGAACCCTTGGCCTTGTAACATGTAATCCAAGACTCTACCATATGAACAACTACCAGAAATGATCGTGTGATATGCCAGACTGGGGAGAACATTAGAACACCGGAGACCAACACCCCAAGCAAACCCTGTGAAACCCACAACCAACATACAACACCGTGGACTACCCAAGGGGATGTGCATCCAGCCGTGCGTCAACCTAACGCCCTGCCAGCGTCCATGCGCAAGGCTGCAGGGTTTTGAACCCTCAACCTTATATACCACAATGCGCATTTCCAACCGGTGCTCTAACCGCTGAGCTACCTCAACTGGACGGCGGTGCGTCATTCTAATGCCCTGCCGGTGTCCATGTGTGAGGCTGAGGATTTGAACCCGCTACCACAATGCCCATTTCCAGCCGGTGCTCTAACCACTGAGCTACATCAACTGGACGGTGGCCCTCCACTCTATGTGGGCACCGCCACAATTTTGCGAGGCCGGTTTCCGGTTATAACCACAATTTTGTGGCCCCAGAGCGAGGACCAGCGGGTCCTGGTACAAGTAAAATTTCGGGGCAGGGGAAACGGGGGTGGTACGCTAGTTTCGAAAGGGTCTTGGTAACGTGCAACTTGGGCGCTGGGACGGGGTGTGGCGGGAACTCTCATCTTTCAATGGGGTACAGAGGTACAAGTGCCACCTCTACCGATCAGCAGTGCTTTTTTTGTTTTTTTTTTGTTTTGGAGTGCTAATTCACGGAAAGAGCGGGGTCTTTTCGTTCAGTACCGCGGTCTCTGAGTGAAGTTCGAGGTCCGAAGCGCGGCGAGACTTCAATCAAGGGCTGGCAGCGCTCTCCTACACTCAAGCGTGAGTGGTGGTAGACTGGTAGTGATGCCCAAGGGATCATGTAGTGGTGATGGATGAGTGGGTGTGTAGTTGGGCGCTCATTTCTCTTCTTTCACGCGGAGCTGCTCCTGCCTTTGACTAACGGAGGTAGGTTTGCTAGGATACGTGAGGTGTCTATACTCTCTCGGGGAAAGCTTGGGAAAGCTGCAGGCTGTGGTTATGGCGAAACAGCGGCAGCGACTGCGAGCGGTACGGGGCGTGTTTCCCCGTGGGACGCTCTCACGGGCAGTCGTCCTTTCCGCAGGTGTGATTGTTCTCCTGACTGTGGGTTTCTGCGAATGCGTCCTCGTGGCGGACGGGGAAGCACGCGCAGAGAGAACTACCGACTCTGCGAGGAGATGGAGCGAACCATCGCTCTTCTCTGAGAATGCCTTCGTTCTGAATCGGAATTATGGCGGCAACAAAGAGTCTTCTAGATCGTTGCTCGCAGCTGGTACGCAGCCAGGCCTTCCGTCTTTAACTGTCCTGCAGACGGACCTGGTTGTTAAACAACGAGTCCTGCTGAGACACGTGGCAGAATATCCTTTCCAGATTCCATCCAGTGCCACCGTATGGTGCGGAGACACGATTCAAGACGTAGTCCTCGATCCCGTCGACCTCATCTTCTATTACATTCTCGACGAGCAATGCGCTCGCGTTGGTGCAATCAAATCCACGTTAACACATTGGCGGGTGTCGTACCGAAAGGCGGCCTTGCGGAACATCAGTGCCGATGGCCTCGTTAAGGAGGAGGTGATCAGCTACTGGTGGAACGCGAGCGTGCCAGACAGCCCGGCCGCTTCTGCTCCTATTGTTCTCCGCGATCCCGAACGCATCCCTTCCATCGACATGGCTCTGACGAATGGCATGGATCTCTCCCCTTCCCGCTCCCACCTCGTCGTGGGTGCGCGAGTGCCCAGATCAAAGTCGGGTTTGGCGCTCCTGTCTGTTGCCGATGGCAGTCGTTTGACCTTCCCGTCAAATGCGGACGCTCTCGGGAGCTTGGCGTTCAGCCCCGACAAGAGTCGCCTGTACACAGTAGATTTGAGCGCACCGACAATTCGTCTAGAGTCTGCAGCGGTGCCTGCTGCTCCCGACGGTCTTCCTCTGAGTGCAGCCACTTCTTTCCACCAGGTGGCGATCTATACCCAGAATGGGAACCCGAACATCACCGACATGACGTTCGGTTCCCAGAGCTTCGCTCCAGACGGAAGCTGTCTTTATTTCCTGGACTCCGACTACGGGAGAGTGTGGGCGCTCGACCTCTCATCAACACAGAAGACGCCGATTCTGGTTGCAGGTACGGACGAGGAAGGGATGCAGGACGGGGGTCCTTTGATGGCGAAGTTCGAGGATCCGCGAGAGTTGGCCGTGACATCGGACGGATGCAATCTCTTTGTGTCTGAGAGGAACGGTTTTCTGCGAAGGATCGAGCTCGAGCAACCGTGTGGAAGAGCTCGGAGCGTGGACACGGTGGTCAGATACGGCCCCGGAGGGTTTCGAGGACTGGCGCTCCGCAGCGACGGCACTCAACTGTACGTCTACGTGGGTTCGAACGATGGCCACCTCTTCGAGCTGGAGATCAAGCAGGACCTGCTGCCAGTATGCGGACCGCTGCCTTCATCGTCGTCGTCCCAGCCACCCCACCAACCCGATCCCAGCTCAATCTCGTCTGTGCCCTATCATCCTTCGCAGCCATCCTCCGAGTCCCCCCCTTCCTCCTCTCACACCTATCCCAGCTCTACAGCCACGCCTTCATCCTCTTACTCCTCTCCTTCCACGCCTTCGTCCTCTTACTCGTCTCCTTCCGCGTCTTCGTCCTCTGCCTCCTCTTCTTCGCCCACACCTTCTTCCTCCTCCGGTTCCTCCGGAGGTCGCGTGGTTCTCCTCGTCGTCCTTCCGATTGTGTCCGTGTCAGCTGTGGCTCTCGTTGCTGGCGTGCTGTTTGTTGTCTGCCGGCGGCGCAGAGAGGACCAAGTCACGCAGTCATCAGCTCGAAGCCAGGCTTATACAGGGCAGCAGCAGCCGGTCTCGACTGGGTCCAACATCGAGGTGCCGGTGAGCAGTTCGGCTGGAGTGCTGCAATCTGGGGAGGACTCTCTCATCGCTCCACCACATCGCCGAGCGGACGATGGCCTCCACCCTACCACGGTGAGACCGTTCTCCCTCCGTGATCTTCAACAGTGCACGAACAACTTCGATTCCAGCTACCGGATTGGCGAAAAGGGCGCGTTTGGCGCAGTGTATTGGGGTCACATCGGCGGGGCTGATCTGGCAATCAAGGTGATGGACGGGCGATTGACAGAGTCGGGACGGAGACAGTTCGTTGCGGAGGTGAACACTCTGAGCCGCGTTCATCACGGCAATCTTATCCAGCTCGTCGGCTACTGTGACGAGGGGAGCAAGTCCGTACTGGTGTACAACTACTACCCCGGCAGCAGCTTGCACGCCCGCCTGCACAACCCGCAGACCATTCGCGCTCAAGCCCCCGTTCCTCCTCTGACGTTGCTGGAGCGCGTGTCCGTCGCACTGCAGATCGCAGAAGCTCTGCGATATCTCCATTTCGGCGCGAGTCCCGCGGTGATCCATCGCGACGTGAAGAGTTCAAACGTTCTTCTGTCGGGTGGCGCTGGGGACAACCTCCGCGCTGTCCTCGCGGACTTCGGTCTCGCGACCATCGTGGAGAAAGTATTCCAGACGAAGGTGGACGCGACTGTGCAAACTTTTCACATCTCCGGCACGCGTGGGTACATGGCGCCGGAGTTACTGAATGGCAGATTGTCCGTGAAGAGCGACGTGTACGCTTTCGGAGTCGTCGTTCTGGAGTTGTTGACAGGTAAGCCGGCGATCGTGCCGGGATCCGGACCTGGAAGTGAATCGTATCAGCTTGCTTCCTGGGTGAAACACGTGTACAACGATACAAGATTGGACCTCGTTCGAAGCGTTGTTGACCCTTCGCTGCAGCCCGAAGTTATGAGGAGTGATGCTCTCACGAACTCGGTGATGAAGGCCATCTCGTTGGCCATGGAATGCTGCTTGGAGGACGACAAGTCCAGGCCGACGATGACCTCTGTCCTTGACAGAGTGACAACCATCGTGTCGGACGTGAGGAAAGGGAGAGTGGAAATGGACCGGTAGGTAGGGCAGTTTATCTTCTTGCCTTTAGTATATGCCATCAAGCTATGCACTCGAATTTGGCACACACTTCCCCCTCGGGGTCTTTCTGTCATTCCGTTTCTTTACTCGCTGATCACGGAGGATATCGAAAGGTCAGCGTGCGTTTGTCGTTCCTTCTGACTCCTGACTCTCGCTGCTCTATGAGTGAGGGGTAGTGCCAGCGTCTGGGCCTCAATTAGGAGAATTATCCCCTAGTAGCTCCCCTACTTCTTCGACTCTTCCCGACCGATCATCTTATCACGACTACGTTACATCAGAAGGCCGCCTTCAATTGTGTGTGTGTCTTCGCTCTGTGTGTGTGTGTGTGTGTGTGTGTGTGTGTGTGTGTGTGTGCGCGCGCGCGCGGGCGAGCGGAAGAGTGGGAACGGAGATGGAGACAGGAGGAGGAAATGACCGGCGAAAGATCAAGGGGGAGAGACAGTCAACGGGCGGGGATTGGGGGGGGGAAGAGAGAGAGAGAGAGAGAGAGAGAGAGAGAGAGAGAGAGAGAGAGAGAGAGAGAGAGAGAGAGAGAGAGAGAGAGAATTGCATGGTCGCATTTCGACCTTTGTTCAGGGGCTCTGTTTTCTATTCTCAACAACTCGGATCGTGACGTCATTTATTCGTCCCTTCCTGATCTACTCTGTACTGCTCTGACTTTTCACGGATTTTTCGAAGGATTTGATCACCAGATTCACCACCGGTTCTTGGCGGGTTACCGTAATGTAATGGAAAGAAAGACCTAAGTCTGTTCTTAACAGCAGGTATGTCAGGTAATCGAGGGAGCGAGCTTTCTGTGACTTCGATCAATGCCAATTCAGGTTTTGTTCTACGGGTGTGAAAAAAAAAGATGTGTCGAACAGAAGGGCTGATGTTTAGGTTAGTGGAGGCTAGGTTGGACGTGACACGTCCTGCTTCTTTTTCTTTCGTTCTCGTTTAGCGAGGAGTGAGGACCTTGTCAATTCGACAACGACTATCTATAGTACTAGTAGTAATCGTAGAAATGGTGAGGGAAATGGTGAGGGATTTCTGGTCTGGGGTGACGTGGCATGAGCAGACGATCGGATCCTTCAACGCTGGCGATCTCGATCGAAAATCGGTCTTCCCTCCTCGTCTTCTTCCTTCCCTCCCTTTTGTGTCGGGGATTCGATCCTCTGCTTCCCCTGCTTCGAGCAGCGTTTTTTTTTTTTTTTTTTTTTTTTTTTTTTTTTTTTTCCCCAGCAGCGTTGAGTAGTGTGATGCACAGAGAAATGGCCGGTGAAGTAGTTTCGAATTTCCGTCATGGCCACTATCATCCGGAGCCAGGACCCACTAGCAGCAAAATCGTGTGAATTTTTTTGCATTGGGTGCTTTAGGGCCGCCCGATCCGAGGATCTGATGGCCATAGTGCGACCATGTAGATATCTTTTTGAAAATTACACGATCTCGCGTCTGCCTTCTTCCCAGGAATATAATGTACGGTCATTATAGCTGTATTTGGGGTATCTTTTAGTCTGAATGCATTTATAATGACCCTAAGTTGTATTCGGGTGAAGAAGGTAGTGGGGCCTGGCTACCAATAAGAGGATGCAATGCAAGGGAGAATTCGGAGGGATTTTGCTGCTCTCCATAGGAGGCTGCAGGTCGGGGTGAGCCGTAGTGGGCCGTCTAGGGTTTTACAGATTATCATCTTGTTATTTGTATATTTGCCACTGCCCCTGATAGCTACGGGGGGGTGACGAACTGTTTCTTTTTTTTCAAAATTGCTTTATGGATATAGAGAGATAGGGTATCATTCATCATGTTTATGTGTGCATAAACGCAGAGAGAGATCGGTTATTAACTTATATATGCTGATTATTTTGTCAGTAGTTATGTGTCCATATAAGTACCGGAAGGAACCGACGGCAACGGAAGGTTATAGTGGCCGAGAGCGACGGGACGCTCGGTCGGGTTACAATGTTTAAACTTTAAAGTTTAAAACAATAAAAATAATTAGATTTTTTTTGTTTGGGGGGGGG